CTGAAGTAGTCTCAGCCTGCTACTTCTCCGCCATCTTGACTCCTCCCTCCTTATAGTGATTTTTTTAGAAGTGTTCTTGAAGTATGACACCCTTGTTGTGGACTGTTTTCCCCAAATTCATATGTTGAAACCCTAATCCCCGATGTGCTGTTTTGTGAGATGGGGCCTTTGGAGGTTATTAGGATTAGCTGAGGTTAGGAGGGTGGGGCCCTCATGATGGGATTAGTGTGCTTGTAAGAAAAGATACCAGAGAGTTTACATACTCCCCCTCTCCCACCCCATTCTCATCTCTTTCCCTACCATGTTGAGACACTGCAAGAAGGAGGCCATAAGCAAGCTCAGAAGAGAGCCCTCAGCAGAACCTGATCATGCTAGCACCCTCATGTTGGACTTCCATCCTTCAGAACTATGAGAAAATAACTGTGTTGTTTAAGTCACTCAGTCTGTGGTATCTTTTATAGCAGCCCAAGCAGACCAAGACAGAGCAAGGAGACTAAGATCTGAACTGTTATGTGGCAAGTGGTTTTCTTTTTTCTTTTTTTTTTTAAAGATTTTATTTTGTTTTATTTATTTGGCAGAGAGAGAGATCAAAGTAGGCAGAGAGGCAGGCAGAGAGAGAGGGGGAAGCAGGCTCTTCGCTGAGCAGAGAGCCCGATGCCGGGCTTGATCCCAGGACCCTGAGATCATGACCTGAGCCAAAGGCAGAGGCTTAACCCAACGAGTCATCCAGGTGCCCAGGCAAGTGGTTTTCTATACTGGAAGAGGATCCCCTCAGTAATTCAGTCAACAAATGTTTATTAATTGCTTACTGTATTTCATGCCATGTGCAAACTAGTGAGGGTCCAAAGGTAACCAAGACAAGGCTCTCACCCCTAAGGAGCTGATTTCATAGGAGACAAGCATGTAGACAAACTGAAAAAAGGGTTATAAGTGTTCTGATAGAAGTATCTTCTCTTTTATACATATCCCTTTTGTAGGATACATACATCCCTTTTATAGGGATTCAGGGGTTAGAGTAATTGTTTCTATCTGTGGTTGGGGTTTAGAGTAATTGTTTCTATCTGTGGTTGGGGTTGGGTAGGTTTGGCTGACCTGAGTCAACACTCTATATCAAGTTAACTCTGAGTTCACCAACCAAGTGGACAGCTGTGACTCACAATGTGGCAATAAACCTGAGGCTTCAGTGGTGAGCCCTGCACAGGCCCATACTGGACATTTAGAGATTTAGATGGTGGCTGCTCACCGAGGAGAAGGAGAACTCGCTGCATGCTCTCCAAAATGCAACAGGCTATCGGCAGTGGCTAAATGGCTTCTTCCGCCCTTTCTACACTGTGAATTTCCACTTCTCCTTCTTCTTTGGGGCCTTGACTATTTATAACAACATTCTTATTTACTTATACCAGTTGTATTTTTTATAAGTTAATAAGCGTTTGGAGCCTGTTACTGTGACAAAAACTATTGGAGAATGTGGACCTACCACTAACTACAGCACCCTTCTGGGTCACATGCCTTTTGCTGTCTAAGTCTGAATCATCCCCACATCCTAGCCAAGACCCTACTTTCTCTGGAAGCTGTGCCTGAACTGCACCACCCCTGGATTAGGTGGGTGCTCCTGTTGAGCCTCCCAGACTCCCATATTTGCTGCATTATAGCACTTATCATACTGTTTTGAAATCTCTTATTTGTCTCCTCCATCAGACTGACAGATCCTTAAGGACAGGAACAATAACAGTTTTGATGATGTGCTTAGGTCATCAAAAGCTTCCACTAAGTATTTGTTGAATGAATCTGGTTTTAGAGCCTGTCAAAAGAGAGGACCAGATGAACATTGGGTTTATGTTGCTGCCACCAATGTACACCTAACCAATTAAGTTCAGTTTGAAATATCTATCTGAATTTTTGTGTAAATTAATATAATCCAAATAAAGAGCATGAACTAGAAGAAAACACAGTACCACAGAGTAACCAACATCAGGCTGATGTAAAAATGAAGCTGTTATGGCTTCATAATATGTAAGCTTAATAAAAATTAAGCTGGTTTTAAATAGAGGTAAAAGGCATGGAGAAAGGATCTGGAACAGCAGTCTAAGGACAAAAGAGGAATGGATAGGCTTTATGCAAATCATCTTGGTAGGATCAGAATATTTATAATCTATTCATTTAATACATTTTAATATCTACTTTAAGATTAGACTGAGCTTTGGATTATGGGTTAAAGAGTTCTGAGTTCAGGGATATGACAAGTAAGTAATAAATGCTTCAGGGATACATACACCATGAAAAACACTGTGAACTGTATTCAAATATGATTATTCTAGCAACTAGGCAGGAATTGACCTAGAGTCAAAGAGAATTTAAAGATGATACATTAAAGCAAAGATGGTCTGTTGAGTAAGTGGGATAAAATGTGACCTATATAGATAAGCCTTTCTTCTACTGTCTTCTCTGCAAGCATGCCACAATGTTTGAAATTCTTGCCATAGAAATCACTCTTTCAGTTTAAGGTACTATCTTTAGAAAGCCTGCTAACATGCAAGATTATGCTACTAAGTGATGGTAACATTCCATACAATGGTACCTCTGTCTCCCAAATCTGAACTTTTCTTACTCCTAAGAATCTCACTAAAGGATGCTTAGTGGGAGGCAATACTATCAGACCTCAGAGCTGGGTGTGGTCATCACCAGTAGAATGTAAGAGGAGATATGTGGCCAAATTCACATCATTTACTTAAAAATAAATTGCTTGCCTTGGATTCACCCTCTCCACTTCTTCCTGAAGTCTAGAAAGGAGACATGGGAGAGATTCATCTTTAACCTGTCTTAGGGCTTAAGACATGTCAGAGCCTCAAGATAGAAGGACATGGGTCTCTGAGGAAAACCATGAACTGATTAATCATGACAGCATCAACCAGTCAGCCAGTTTCACAAAAGGGAAATAAATTTCTATTTTAAGTACTATATTTTTTGTTTCCTCATTATAGCAGTTTACCTTACTCTAATTAATATTACGTTCATGAGGTTGGCATAAATTTGACAATTAGTTATCTCTCACCTATAGCAAAGGAAGAGCCTAAAGATATGGGTCACAAGAAACAGATAAGAAAGGGCTGAACCAGGGCACTCCTTAGGAGAAGGCAAACTCAGAAGCGCTGCTAAAATGGGAGACTCTGTGTTGTCAGTTAGGAGAAAGGATAAGGTCTTTTGACATCTAGATAGGTATAAGAAGAAGAGCCAATGAAGACACTAGGCACACTTGAAAATTTTGGTGGGACCAATCAGTTACAATAATTCACAGAAGGGTAATAAGAGAGGTCGAAATGGAGAAGAGGCAGATTGGCACAGAAAGTGGGAGTAGAAACTCATGAAGGGTTGCATTATGGTATTTAAAAATAAAAAAGTATAGAGGAGTCCAAAACATTTCAAGGTCTGAGTGGTCAGGTGACCATGAATCATGAAATTATGACAGTAACAGTAAGTTAGATCAAGCTGTTGGTTAGTAGAACAGGATACTGAACTTGATCTTTTCCATGTTAATTTTAAATTGTGGTAGTGGGGAGCCTGGGTGGCTCAGTCTTTAAGCATCTGCCTTTGGCTCAGGTCATGATCCCAGGGTCCTAGGATCAAGCCCAGCATCTTTCCTGCTCAGTGGGGAGCCTGCTTCTCCCTCTCCCACTCCCTTGCTTGTGTTCTCTCTCTTGCTGTGTCTCTGTCAAATAAATAGGTAAAATCTCAAAAAAAAAATTGTGGTAGTACATTTTACTAAATAATTTAAGATACACAATGAAGAGGTATTTGAGAAAAAAAAAAGAGAGGTCAAGAAATTAGGTTGGAGATGTAGAATATTACCACCGACATGAAAAGGACAGCTAAAAATGCTCTCTAAAGAAATAGCCACACTTTTGGTTCTATTACATTTAAAGCTTAAACATTACATATCTCAATATGCATCTAGATAACATAGACTTCGCTAGTTGATAAAAGAAGTTTCTGGCAGCAGCTTTCTAATCATTACACTCAGCCTTGTCTCTTTTCACCTCTAAACTTGTATAGAGGTCTCTTCCTGAACTTCTTCACCTTTATTTTGATGTTCAGCTTTCCGGAGAAGCCTGGGACCCAGCAAACCAATGAGTAGACTTCCAATTGGGGCTGTGATGAGGATGGACAAAAATGCCACTGTCAACACATCCATTCCATATTCTTCTAACTGTTTCTCTTCATGTGATCTTGCTGTGTCCAAAGCCACAGATCCTATGGCAGCCTATAAAAGTTTAAAGGTAACAATGGAAACATAAGACAAGTGCATAGAGAGAAGGTGAATTATTTTGTCATTTGCAAAAACAAATTACTGTTCTTTTGCTCAGCTAAGAAAGTTCTATTAGTTTTCTTTCAAAGTATACTGCAGTGAGTTTTGGTTGTTTGAAAACTCTCCCTGCTTGGGGAAAGAATAATGATTTATATGTACCTATTTGCATAAGGTAGGGCTACAAAAATATCAGGCAAATATATGTCAAAACACAAGGCAAAGTCAGATTCATGATATTAATTAACTAGAACATGATACCATATATACTAAATTCCACCTGAGTAAAGATGAGAGTTACCGGTCATCCTATTCTTTTATCTTTAGTAATTTCAAAGTAAGAAAAAGAAAGATGAAAAATGCAGTGATACTGGAAGATGGTGAAGTTTTAAATGAAAAAACAAAAACAAAAACAAAACCCCACAAAACAACCCATAAGAATAGGTACTGCTTTTAGAGGCTAACTAATTAAACATCATGAAACTTGAAAATAAGAAGCTCCTTCAAAACTTGAAGTTAATCTTATTAGACATTTAGTTAATTTTTGCCTCAGGAGTTGGTAAAATATTTTATTTAAAATTTATTCTTTTGGAAAGTTTCATGAAAATTTTTATTCTCTTTTACAGGCAAAATGCAACACTAATGTACATGGGAAATTAACATATATGCATATATATATATATATATATATATATATATATAAAATATATATATATTTTTAAAGATTTTATTTATTTATTTGACAGAGAGAGAGACAGCAAGAGCAGGCACACAGCAGGGGGAGTGAGAGAGGGAAAGTAGGCTTCCTGCCCAGTAGCGAGCTAGATGTGGGTCTCTATTCCAGGACCTTGGGATCATGACCTGAGCCAAAGGCAGATGCTTAAAGACTGAGCCACCCAGGTGCCCTGGAAATAATATATTAAACAATCTGGTTACTCCCTTGTTCCACAGAACACAACAACATTAGCCTCTAGGACAATGAAACAGAAGAGAAAATATCAGTATGCATGAAACACATGGCAGAGACTACCAATTGCCCACAAATATCTGAATATACTCTTCTATTATAGAACTCTTGAGTTTCAGCTGTTCATATTACTGTACAGATAGTTTTTCAGCCTTCTTTACAACTAGATGAACATACATTATTCAACATGTTCTTGATAACGTTTCCTTATTTCATATTGGCTTTGGTAGCAGGAGAGTGCCATCTTTCAAATTTTAATGTTTAGGAACTCATCCCTCATACCAAAGTTACTAGAGTGATTATTTTTATATTTACCCATTAAAGTTACCAGAGGTAGCAAGGAAGCTGAAGATACTCTGAGGGAGAAACTATTCCACTTATTGTACTACTAACCTCACAGTATTCATTTTTTTTTTTTTTTACTTTTTAAAAATTAACATATAATGTATTATTAGTCCCAGGGGTAAAGGTCTGTGAATCGTCAGGTTTACACACTTCCCAGCACTCACCATAGCACATACCCTCCCCAATGTCCATAATCCAATCGCCCTCTCCCTACCCCCCCTTCCCCCGGCAACCCTCAGTTTGTTTTGTGAGATTAAGAGTCTCTTAAAGTTTGCCTCACTTCCGATCCCATCTTGTTTCATTTTTTCCTTCCCTACCTCCCAAACCCCTGCTTTGCCTCTCAGATTCCCCATATCAGGGAGATCATATGATAGTTGTCTTTCTCTGATTGACTTATTTCTCTCAGCATAATACCCTCTAGTTCCATCCACTGTCGTTGCAAATGGCAAGATTTCATTTCCTTTGATGGTTGCATAGTATTCCATTGTATATATATATACCACATCTTCTTTATCCATTCATAAAGAAGGTTCTTGATGGACATGTAGGTTCTTTCCATAGTTTGGCTATTGACCTCACAGTATTCTTAGCCATTATGTCTCAGACTTCTTTGAAAGTCTGATGGAAATAAAACTCTCTGGAATAATGCCAAAGCCCACAGCCACAGCCATAATTATATGGCTTATAATTATAGTGCATACAGATCCCCAAAGCTTCCTAAATTTAGAACATCTCATTTTGGGGATGCCTGGGTGACTTAGTTAAGAATCTGAATCTTCAATTGGAGAAAGACAACTATCATATGATCTCCCTGATATGAGGAAGTGGAGATGCAATGTGGGGGGTTTAGAAAAGAATAAATGAAACAAGATGGGATTGGGAGGGAGACAAACCAGAAGAAACTCTTAATCTCACAAAACAAACTGAGGGTTACTGGTAGGGAGAGTCGGGAGAGGGTGGTGGGGTTATGGACATTGGGAAGGGTATGTGCTATGGTGAGTGCTGTGAAGTGTGTAAACCTGGCAATTCACAGACCTGTACCCCTGGGGGCAAAAATACATTATATGTTTATAAAAAATTAAAAAAAAAAAAAGAATCTGACTCTTGATTTGGCTCAGGACATGATCTCAGGGTGGTGAGATTGAGCCCCAAGGAAGATTTTTTCCCTTGGCCCCCACCCTGCTTGGGTGCATGCTCTCTCTCTCAAATAAATAAATCTAAAACAAAAAAAGAGGACATCTGATTTTCATTTCATAAAACAAAAATTTCCGTGTTTAAACAATTGCAAAATAATCAGAGAAGAGACAGTTCAATATTGTTTGCTATAATTACTTTGAAAATAACATAATCAGAAATATATTATGTTTGCAACAAATAATCTATATAGTTCTAATTTAATTAGTAATTAAATTCTACCAAATACCTGGTTAATACTTTCAAGCACCTATCTCTTCATGCCTTATTCATTACAGTGCACAATTTTGGGGTCATGTGATTGATATATTTGACAGAAGTTTTAGCTAGTTTGAAAAATTTACTACCAACCAATAATCTAGAAAATCAATAAAGCATTTTCTCAGTTGCTTTTCAATAATTTTTCTCCTTTATATATAAAGACTGTGGTCAAGCATAACTGATCATCAATTATATTGACATTGAAGTATTTCCAAATACTAAGATACACCAGGCTATTTCTTTTTCACTCTCTTCTTGGAAGATATTGAAATGAAAAGGTTTAACAACTATCTTTCTGGGTGATTTAGAGGGCTCTGACTGATAAAAATTCAAACTCTTTCTTCTCATGACTACTGCTTTCTAGTTAGTGTGGGAATTTATTGGATTTTTAGTTGATTAAAATAAAGCTAATCATCTAGATAAATTTAAATGAGCCATCATATTTAGGAAATCAGTATATGTAAAATAAAACTTTTAAAGAATAGATTAGTATAAACCCTTTTCACAAATCAAATTTAGATTACATCTTTTCCACCAAATTTGAATAAACCCTCTTGTTTAAAATTTCAGGGTGTCATATAGAAATGGGAGTTAAAATGCTACACCATCCAATCCATCATTACCTGGACTGTGGCCTTAGGAAGCCATGCAAAAGAAATAAATATCTTTTCCTTGATGTTAAAACCAGCAAAACACACCATCAGAAATGTAGTCAAAATTCTTATCAATACTGCAATGCCCAGGATGGCAACACAAAGGCCTGTAAGAAATATTTAATTTTTAGACATAATAAAGCATTGGGGGAGAAACTGTATCTCACGGTTATTGATTCAAAATACTATCAACTGTAATTATCTATTATATTAAAAATTAAGAAGACAAAATGTTTAGGCATAATTTATCAAAACATCAATAACAAGGATCAAATCACTTATTTAAAAGAAGGTATTTTTCCTAGATTAAGCCAGAAATTAATTAAACATATTTGATATATATTATAGAGGAGATACGAATGTTATTTCTCTCATGCTTTATCGTATGAACCAAACTTTCTTCCATGTGTTTATTCAACATTAACTTATTTTTTTTAAAAGATTTTTATTTGACAGAGATCATTTATTTATTTGACAGAGATCACAAGTAGGCAGAGAGGCAGGCAGAGTGAGAGAGAGAGAGAGGAGGAGGAAGCAGGCTCCCCGCTGAGCAGAGAGCCCGATGTGGGACTCGATCCCAGGACCCTGGAATCATGACCTGAGCCAAAGGCAGAGGCTTTAACGCACTGAACCACCCAGGCGCCCCTTCAACATTAACTTATTAAATGATAACTGTGCATGACAGGATTTGGACTAGGTGTTGGGTATACAAAAATGTATAATGTACAGACTTTGTTTGCCTCTATGAACTTCAAAGTCAGAGGAAAACAGAAACATAATGAATTAATGTACTATAAGGTACATACAGTATAAACATACTGGTAAGAAGTCATAGAAAAGAAAAAGTTAATATTTTCATTAAAATGGTTGAGAATTGTTTATGGAGTATAAACCGAGGTGATATTAAAGATATTTATTAGCCAAGATGAAAGCAATCAGTCAATCAGAACAGAACTGGCAGAGCACTGACCAATCAGAATGGACACTGGCTGTCTACACCTGTTTCACCATATTGGTGTATACACTGACTACCCATTAGCCCAGGTACACATGTACAGCTACTTCATTCCGTCCTTTAGAATCCTTTGCTGTCAAAGATAAGTTCATCTTGATTTGCACGCTGGGGATTGTGACTAGGTTACTAAACCTGAGAAAGGCACAGCTAAGGTGACTGCTAATATGGTGATTTTCTAAAAAGTAGCATTTGTTAAGTGTTCACTCTGTATCAGTTTCTGTATTAAAATTTAAGTGCATTCAGCACCTAACTCTTACAATCTGTGGGGTAATCTTTATTTTACAATTGAAAAAATGAAGTTTAGAAAGGATAAATGACTTTCTCAAGTTCGAAAGGTGAGTAAAACAGATAATAAAACCAGATAGACAGCGCCAGAGGACTTATTGTGAATCTGCAATATGGCTTCTTTATAGAAAGGTGTTGTGGCTTTTTATTGAGGGATATTGCTCAATCCCTCAATGGTTTTCAAAAGTTGGTAGGTTTTCAAAAGCATTTATTGCCTGAAGTACAAAAAACAAAAGAGATTATACCATTGCAGGAGGGAGCATTGAAGGTTTGGGGAGAAGAGGATTTAGAAATTTTGAACGTACCGAGTTTGAAGTTTTGCGAGATTTACAAGTAGTGATGTCCAATTAGCAATTAGATACACTGATTTAGAGATAAAAATTTTGGAATTATGTGGTTTATAATCAAAGCTACTGAATGTAGATAAGCTCAGAAAAATGACATAGAGAAGCTTAGAAACCTTTGGAACAACCCTGATGAAGAGTGGCATTTAAGCTACATGTAGTGTAAGTGAGGACTCAGAGTGCAGTGAAAAATATGAAGTTTCAGAATTCAATGTAAAACATGTTTTAAAGAGATCAATAGCATCAAATGCTGCTGAGTTATCAAGTAAAAAAAAAAAAGACTGATAAGTATTCAGTGTACTTAGCAATATAACCTTGGTTAGAGCAGGGTCGGTTGTATGATGGGCAGAAGCTGGGCTGAAATGTATTGAAGAAGAGAGTGAGAGTTGAAATGGAAAAGGGAAATATAATTACTTCTTCGGAAAAGTTCGAAAAGAGGAGTAAAAACAAAGTTTGGTGGGTGAAGGGGCAAGTTGAGTGGAAAAAGAGTTTATATATATATATAATATAATATAATATATATAAAAAAAATGATTAAGATGGTAAACTTTGTTATGCATATTTTACCACAA